CGCGGGCGTCGCTGGCTGCCCTCGCCACCTGCGGCCGATCTCGGCGGCTGCCACCGCACCGATGATCATCGGCAGCAGCGCCATCATTCCCGCCCAGGCCGCCGCAGGGAGACGTCAGGCGGCTCTGGGAACCATGCGCCCGCGGCGTGGTGGCCGCTGGCTAGCGGGCCTGTGCGGCCCCTTGCCGGGGGGCGCGCGCGCACCCCCACGCGCGTGCCCTGCTCAAGGGCCCGAGAGGAAACGTGAGCCCAAGTGGGCCGCGGAAGGGGGAGGAAGACAGAAGACATGCGGGATGGACGCATGTGAACTCTGCCACTGGGGCCTTCGGTGGAACTCCCTCTGGGGCCGCGAACCGTGTGAAGGGTGCGCCGAATTACACATGCGGCGGGAGAGGCGGGCGCATGTGAACTCTGCCGCTGGGGCCTTCGGTGGAGCTCCCTTTGGGGCCACGAACCGTGTGAAGGGTGTGCCGAAATGGACATGCGGCGGGGCGGGGCGGGCGCAGGTGAACTCTGCCACTGGGCCCTTCGGTGGAGCTCTCTATGGGGCCACGAACCGGACGAGGGTTGTGCCAAAACTGACATGCGGCGGGCGGGGTAGCGCCACTGGGGCCTTCGGCGGAGTTTCCTATGCGACCACGAGCCGTATGAGGGGCGTGCCGACGTGGACGTGCGGCGGGCGGGGTGGGCGCACAAGAACTCTGCCACTGGGAATTTCGGTGGAACTCCCTATGGAACCACGAATCGTGCGAGGGGTGTGCCATATTGGACATGCGGCGGGCGGGGTGGGCGCACAAGAACTCTGCCACTGGGTCCTTCGGCGGAGCTCCCTATGGGGCCACGAACCGTGAGAGGGGTGTGCCGAGATGGGCATGCGGTGGGCGGGGTGGGCGCATATGGACTCTGCCTCTGGGGCTCCGGTGGAGCTCCCTATGGGGACACGCACCGTGTGAGGGGTGTGCTGAGATGGACGTGCGGCGGGCGGGAAGGCGCATATGGACTTTGCCTATACGGCCTTCGGTGGAGTTCCCTATTGGGCCGCGAACCGCGTGAGGGGCGTGTCAAAATGGAAGTGCGGCGGGCGGGGCTGGCGCGTGTGAGCTCTGCCTCTGGGGCCTTCGGTGGAGCTCCCTGTGGGGCCACACACCGTGTGAGGGGGTAACCGAAATAGACATGCGGTGGGCGGGGTGGGCGCATGTGGACATTGCCACTGGGGCGTTCGGTGGAGCTCCCTTTGGGGCCACGAACCGTTTGGGAGGTGTGCCGAAATTGACATGCAGCGGGCGGGGTGGACGCATGTGGACTTTGTCACTGGGGCCTTCGGTGGAGCTCCCTATGGGGCCGCGAACAGCGTAAGGGGCGTGCTGAAATGGACGCGCGGCGGGCGGGGTGAGCGCATGTGAACTCTGCCACTGGGGCCTTCGGTGGTGCTCCTTATGGGGCCACGAACCGTGCGAGGGGTGTGAGAGGAGCGGGACAGGAGGGGGGGCGAAAGGAGGGGTGTCCTTCGCGTAAAGGGGAATGAGAGCAGAGGCAAGGGTGAGAAGAGGGAGGATGGGGGTGGGGCGGGGGGAAGGAGGCGGGAGAAAGCGGGGCGCTGTCTCTTCAAAACGAGGACCCAACACCACAGGATGGTTGGGAAAAAACTCTGTCACCCTCCCCCTACCCACAGACCATCAGCCAAACCAAAACATAGGGCGCATCTGTTGAACGTGGCACAGGAACAGATGACGAGAGGGGGCGGAAGAGGAGGAGGAAGAGGAGGCACGAGGCACGAGGCTGAGCACTGCCGTCTGAGGACCGACAGCAGGCGGCGGGGGCGGGCTGGCAAGCCTCAGACCTCCTAGGAGGCCGTGAAGAGGAGCAGGTAGCCGAAGAAGACACTCCAAACACCTCCGGACTCGCGGGGACCTCCCCCAGTCCACTAGCAGCCTGGACTGGCAGCCGAAGAGGCCCAACAGCAGCGGCCAGAAAGAAAAGAAGGCGCAGGGCACCTCGAGGAGCAGGAAGCCCATGAGGTCGCCAACGCCGCTGGACTCGAGGGGAGCTCCCCCCCAGCCCAGTACCAGCCTGGACTGGCAGCCGAACAGGTCCAGCAGCGGCTGGGCCAGATGAGACACCCTGCTGGAGCAAACACTTTAGCAGGACGATCGCGTAAGATACCAACCCAAGACAGGTCAAGGAGAGGCCACGTCGTCGAAGCAATAGCCAACGCCAGAGTACCAAAACACAAACCAGCGGTGGATAAACCCTGTCCGCCTAAAACTGCAATGCGTAGAAGTGGAGCGGCAAGACATGAAGGCGACACTCCCAGTAAAGACAGCGCCAACATGGAATAAGAGGCCCTCGAACAAGGACGAAAACAAGGAGCATGCATTGCAGCGGCTTGTTCGTCTTTGGATACCCTGCTGCCAAGAAACTTCAAAGCCTCCCCGTTAGATTAGACATATACTTGAAGGCGCGCCCTTCTTCACATGGGAAGCCAAGGCATCGCCCATGCAGCGCCTGCGACGGACCAGTACTGGCCCATGACACACGGCGCTCACAAAAAAACTGCCCCAACAACGCGTCGAAGCCTATGTCCGTTCTGCTCGATGACTTCAGACCCACTCCAAGCGCCTTCGGTAGTGGTAGTGCCCTGCCAACACCTGTCACCGCGTAACTCAACGTCTGTGGTATCCGCCGCATATAAAGCAGCATCGACAGGGCCCAACTGAAAACAAGGCTGCGCACCATGCTCTGCAATCTGAGCCTCAGCTCGCAAATTGTCCAGCACGGTATCGTGGCACGGGGACCGACCTGATAAAACATGCCAAGTTAGGCCGAAGTACTGCGACAGCACGCGTGACATAACATGGTATCAGGCCCCAGCTTAACCACGTCATGCTTGATGACAACCAGCTTCGCCACTTCCTGAAATGACGGAGTGTGCGCCGGCGGAGAGAACCTCTGAGGAGGAGGAGGAGGAGGAGGAGGAGGACGAGAAAGACTGAGACGACAGAGCAGGAGGGGGAGGAGGAGGCGAGGGGCTCTGGGTGTGGGTGTCGAATCTCGATCCCCCGGACCGTTCCGAAGAGCGCTCCGCTCATAATCTCGAGGTGGGTCCGGCCGTTGCGACGAGGAGCCTCCGCAGAAGGGCCACGAACGGAAGGAACACCCCCAAAGACCTCCGTCCTCGGGCACCGACATGCCGTGGCAGGGGCGGGCGGCGCCTATGTTGCACACGATGGCCAGCATGCCCCCGGAGACCTCCACCGAGAGCCAGCGGCGCGCACAGGGGGGTGGCTCGGGGGGGAGGGGCGGCCTTCTCAGCAGCCCATCAGAAGGCCAGGGGATTTCCCAGAGGCCCCGCCTGGTCTGCAGGGCAGCCGCCGAAGATTGACTCTCGCCTCCTGGAGAGAAGCCCCCCCCGCCCTCTGAGAAGGCCGCCCCCGAGGGGCACCCTTGAGGGAGGGACCAGCTCAGGGGTGGGGGAACATCGGGTTCGAATCTGCAGTACATCGCCGACGGATTGGCAACGTCTGGGGGGACTGGCCCAGGAGAGGAACCACGAGCGAAACACGAGCTGGAATCCGCGATGCATCGCCGATAGACCGGCGATGGGCCACCGACAGCGCGCCCGCACGCTCCTGGGCGGGGTGGGGCTGGCGGGCCCCATTTCGGCGATCAATGGGCGCCAGGGGGTCGATGCGTGCCCCCTGAGGCCCATCCCCCTTGACCGTTGCCCCCAATCCACCCCACCCTGCGCTCGCCGCCAGCGCAGGGCCCGCGGCGGCGAGGAGCCGGCGCGGGCGCTCAGCCGAGACCCCCCACCAGAATCGAGCGACTCGCCCAAGGACCGTCGAGAGACGACTCGGGAGGAGCAGCCCGGAACAGCTCGGCCCCGGCTCGGGGCCGAGAGACCCGCGCCAGCGGGGGGGGGGACCCCCGCCCGTGCATCACCCTCGGAGCGCCCGTGATCGGGCCCGTAACGTTCGAGGGCGCCTGGGGCGGAGAAATTGCGTGTGCTCGCTTTCAGAGCCTTGGGCCGCCTCCTCCCCAGCCGCGCAGAGGCCGGCGAGCGCGGCGCGCCTCGCGCACGGCGCCCGCCCGCACGCGGGGGCGAGAGGCCCCGTTGGGGAAGCGCCAACGAGAAGCATCGACATGGGAGACCTTGGGCCGCGGCGTCGACGCTGGCGAGGGCGTCCGAGGCGCCGCACCCCGCGCGCGATGCTCAAGGGAGAGAGGCGGGGGGCAGCGCGAGGGCGGCGCGGGCGTCCACCCCGCCGGCGTCGCCCCCGCGGCCCGTCGGATCGGGTCGCGCGGCTTGGCGGATCGGGTCGCGCGGCGAGGCCGTCCACCGCCGAACACAGGTGGTGGCGGGACAGTGGGATGAGCGCGGACGCCCGTGCCCTATCGGAGAGGCCTCACTCAACGACGCTGAACCGATGGTGAGCACAGTCGTGAAGCCTGGCACCAGGCACGGCAGTATCCACAGGGGCGGTGCCCGCCAGGGAACCTGGGACAAGCCAGAGCGCCTGGGCATGCTAAACACTGGATCTAAGATGGAGGAGCAAGGTCGAGGATCGAGGAGGCGGATTTCCCCAAGACGAACTGGTCGGGACAGCGATGCCTCCAGGGAGGCGAGGCGGCCCTTCCTTGAAGCGATGAAGGACGCACACCTCCGTCTTCGCGTGGGGCACCCCTCGCTCACACTTGCTTTCGTTCGCAAGGTTCCTTCTCTCTCCATTGCAGAAGCCGACACGGAGAAGGAAGGGGGGAAGAACGTCGAGGTTGCCAGGTCGAGGATCGAGGTGTTCGAGCGCTTTGGGCCCTGTCTGGGCTTCTGGATGCCTCTGGGGACATATAGGGCCGCCAGGCGTCTCGCAGGAACCTTCGGGGGCATCCAGAGACCTTGGCAGACCTCAGGTCGGGGGGCCGCCGCAGACCTCGCGGTCCCTCAGGGGGCCTGTCAAGACCAGGCGAACTGCGACCGAGCGGAGCACAACTGCCGACGCGCGCTCACGCGACCAGCGCAGAATTGTCGATCACGAGCTGAAGCGACCAGCAGCCGCTGCTGTTCTGGCCAGCGGTCACGGCGACGGCAGCTGCGAGTTGGCGCTGTAGCCAAACTGCTTGCCAGCCGCTCCCGAGACAGAACGGCGGCGGAGGACGAGAACGCCCTCCTGCTTGCAGGGAGGCAGCAGGGGAAACAGAGGACGCAGGAGGGGCGGGACGCAGAGAAGCCTGAGACAGAGGATGCACATGGGATAAAAGCAGGAGAGGCAGGAGACAAAGGAAGCAGAGGAGCAGCATGATAAACACGAGAACCACGAGCAAGAGGCTTCGGCTCGTCCTGTCGTGATGACGTCGGCATTGGTTCCTGACACCGTCTGGGTGGTTCCTCACTGACTGATTGCGGCTATCCGCCAGCGCAGATCGTTGAGTATCGGCCGATACCCCGCCGTTCGTGGCGTTCATGGCGCTCCACCCTCCGCCCTCCGTCCTTCTCCATCGATCCCTCCTGGCATGGCGCGAGAGCGAAAGAAGCGGGCCCTGGACCCCGTGGCTCACCCGGAGATGTCATCCCAGGGGTGCTCCCTGGGACCAAGTCGTCATCCCATGCACGGGACGGCCCCTGGGCACAGCGAGGGCCCCAGAGGCCGAACACGGCGAACACAACTTCGGGACTCCATTCCTCGAGGGCCCCGTTCCTCAGCGGGCGAGGAGCCACCGGGGGCGCCTGTCCCAGAGAAGCTGGGAATTGTCCCCCTCCCCGCCATGGTGCGTGCGGCGGTGGGGACACAAATTGCCCAACCGGCTCTGGGACAGGCGCCCCCGACGAGGGACAAATTTGTGCTGTACCGTCCGTCGCCAGCCAACTTCCTGCAATCCCGGCCGACCGCCGTGGGCTCCTCGCAGCTCGTGGGGTCTGCCTCCTTGCACTGCTCATACTGGTCAGTATAGCCGAAGCCGACGCAGAGGGCCTGCGCCCGCAGTTGCTCAGGCAGCAGGTTGGCGGCTGCCGGAGGGTGGTCCTGGCCCCAGGTGCCCCCCAGCTTTTCGCGCCACCTGTCATACCCTAGGACCCGCTGGGCCTCGTGAGGGGTGCTCGGGAGGCCATCTGGGCCTCGCTGGAAGAGCTGAGGCCACCCTATGTGGAAGCAATGCTGTGCAACACGATGAGCAATTCAAATTCAAGCGTCGAGCCTGATACGAATTCAAAGGCAACCGACGAACAAGCTGAATATCAGCAGCGGGCCAAAGGCAGGGACGGCAAAGGAGCGCACGTGAAAGACAAGCTGCAATCTGACCAAGTCCTGAGAACGTGGGTAATGATGCGATGCCCTCGGGCATCAAATGTACAACAAATGGCATGTGAGTTTGGAGGCTGACGTTGCAGATCATCCTTGCTGGGGGAAAGGCACTGCAACCACCATATGAGTGCAACATAATGGCAATCGACAAGCGAGACAGATGCAAGCAGTTAGATGTCAGCCGAAGGCTGTTGCAGACAGCAAACAAACGAGCACTTGCGCTAGACAAGCGAAATTTGGCACGCCGAATGACAATTGAGCTTTGTAAGCGCGAGGTACGCAACATTCAGGCACAAGCTAGTTGTAAGCGAACGGCAAGCCAAAGACAAATTTGCGGATATGCTACATACGTGACGCTAGTCCAACAACAGCAATGAATATCCTAGCTAAAACCAGTACTCAAGCCGGGAGGGAGCACGCGGCGCATTTACTGCTTCAAAGCCACAGAGTACAAGTCAACTACACGTCACATACAGGCCGTCGAGGGCAGGCCGAAACCATTGCAGAGAGGCTGCCCGAGCAAAATAAGCATGAAACTGCAGCTGAAGGAAAGATGACCAGACCTGGCCAAACGGAGCTGCAAGCAAGCTAAAGGGTAGTGGCGAGCTAAGGATCAGCTGGAAACACGCCGAACTGCAATGTCACAACAAGCGACGCGTCGAACCGACAGCCTAGTTGTTCAAGTCAACACACAGTTAAAGGCAAGCGGCAGGGTACTCCGAGGACACAAGGTTCCTGGAGAAACTGGTCCAACCCTCCGACCACTCAGAGGAAATTAATTGTCCACTGCTCAGGACCGCACAGTTACTCGCAAGTGCCAGCGACGGGCGGAGATGCGAGCATCACTGTCAACAGCATGGAGCCGATGGCCTGTGGGCGCCGCGAGAAAGCGCTGTCCTCACTCAGACCTCCCTGCCTCCCTCCCTCCCCCGTACGCCCCCCTATGGACGTTGGCCCAACGTTGTTGAGCACGCACGGGGGGGGGGTCAAGATGACCGTGGCCCGCGCATTCACATTTCAGGCTGAGGTGCGCCGTCCAACAACCGAAACAAAAATGCAAACAACAATAATCCGCCAACCACCTTGGGCGCTATGCCGTGGCACCCACTGCCGGGACTGCTGCCTTGCTTGTCTTCCCATCCGATCTTCTCCCTCGCCATATGCCGTCGCTCTTGTCTGTCCAGTCCTGTCCCATCCCTGCTGTCCACTTGGGGGGGAGCTGCAATAACGAGAAAGCCGGCCGAGGTGGGGCTCAGCCCCTCTGACCGCTGTAGTTGCCTCAAGATTCACTCTCGGACGCCACCAGACGGCCAGGAGGGCGCACGGTCCAAGACGGACACGAGGTGGCCCTAAAATGGCCACCAAAGACGCCGCCAATATTACCTGCCCATGATGACTCAACAGTGCACCACGACCAGGCGAATATTGCCCACGATGGCCTCCAGAAGCCCCGAGACGACTCAAAGGTGTCCTAAAAGAGCCCCGCGACACGAGGGCCCCAATACTGCACAAGAGTGCCACGTTGGCATGGAGGAACCCAATACGTCCCAAGAGCCCGTCCAGAGAGGCTCAAGAATTCAAGAGTCCCAAGACGGCGCGAATGGGTCCCAGGAAGGCCCCAAGGTGGGCCAACAACGGCCCCAAGAGATCCTCAAGACGGCCTCGATGAAGCTCACGAGACTCGCGCCCTCGGTCTTCGGGCCCTAGTGTCTGTCTGAGGGCCTGAGGACCCTCGCGCCTTCGCCTATCTCGCCAGATCGTTGACGGGGGCCGCACGGTCTAAAAGTGGCAAGATGGCTGCATCATTCGGTATACACGCTCTTGAGGGCTCCACCTCCCTCGCAGGCAGAGCAGCGAAGCATACGCGGGTCCGAACGATCGGCCTGCAAGAACTTGCTGATCTCAGGATTCACCCTGAACACATCGCCTCGGCCGCGCAACGACTGGGAAAGGGCAGTCGATTGGCAACACGACGGAAACTTGCCGCGCAGACGCGAGGGCACGTGAAGATGCCCTGCTCACCGCTCGGGAGAAGCTCACGCTGCTGCCAGCATGCGGTCTCGTCTTGGCTCCCAGCCGCGCCGGTGAGCAGTCGTGCAACCATGCGGCCAAAGCAGGGTGGTCCTTGGCAATCCCCCTCCGCAGCCCCCATCCTCCTCGTCCTCCTTCCCCTCCTTCCTGCTCGTTTCGCCATCCCTCCCCCCTCCCCATCCATTTTCCGCATCACCGACCTCATTACCTCTCGCCCTACTCCTGGTAATCATCCTACCCCTCCTCCTTCGCTTCCTCCTCCTTGTCTTCCCCGAGCGGTCATTATCCTTCTCCTCCACGTCGCCATCGATCCCCTTCTCGTCCGTTGCCTCCCGTTTCATTTCCCCCGCCGCAGCCTCGCAAATCCGCCGATCCGGCGTGCGAGTTTGTGAGAGCGTGGACTTGAGCTCGCTCAAGCTTCGCTCTGCAGTGTAGGGGGGGGGGGGGGTACGTTATTTCCGACGTCATTTCCGACGTTGTTCGGTACACAGGATATTTCCGACGCCATTTCCGAAGTTTTTCGGTACCCGGGGACAGGGGGGCATAGAAAACTTCACTTCCCGAGCCCCGACCGCCCAAGACAGCCCAAGAGGAAGCCAAGAGAGGCCCCAGAGGCCCCCTAGACAATGAGAGGGCCCCGAATCGCCGAAACATCGCTCGAGCCGCCCAAGATGCCCCGATAACAGTTCCAGAAACCTCCAAGAAGTCCCCAAGTCTCACCCCCCCCGGATCGGCGGCACTGGCCGGAGGCCAGCCCAATATTCCTCCGCTATCCTCCCCCCCCCTCCTCCTCAAGCCTTTCCCCCACCTTCTTCCCGTCCTCCTCCACCTCCTCTTCCCTCCTCCTCCTCCTCCTCCTCCTCCTCCTCCTTCCCCTCCAATTCGTGATTATGCTTCTGCTCCTGCTCCTGCTCCTGCTCCTGCTCCTGCTCCTCCTCCTCCTCCTCTTCCTCTTTACCATCATTCCACCCCGCCTGCAAAAGCATCACCATCATCCGCTTTGGATTTCTCGAGCTCATCATCCTCTGTCGTTTCGATCCCCGTCCTCTCCGTTATCCTCTTCCTTCTCCTCCTTTTCCTCCTCCCCCTCCTCCCCGTGGCAACGCAATTCGATAACCATGCGCGCCAGATAATTATCCCATGGGGATAATCAAGTTCGGTGGTCTGGCGGGGATAATCAACGATTTCCCCGGCGAAGGTGATGGTATGGCGATGATGATGATGATGCTGGTGATGACGGTCGCGATGAGGACGATGACGAATACGATGACGATGATGATCTTGGGCGCGCGTGCAACCTGACCTTGTAGATCTTGGCGGAAGAATGGCTCGAGAGATCTCGAGGCTCGTGGCTACAGCTTGCCTGCGCAAGAAAGGTCCTTGGCGCTCCTGGCCGAGAAACCTCTCTTGCGCACGACCTCGAACCACTCGCCCATGCAGGCGGGGCGCCCGTTGGAGACGCCCTTGCACGGGAGGCACTTGGCGCAGTCCTGGGCGGCAGCGCTTGCCTCCTCGAAGGTGGCGTGCTTCGGCTCTACCGCCGCGGGGTCCTTGAAGGGCTTGGACTTGGCCTTGCTCTGGGCCTTGGCTCTGGGCCTTGGCCAAGTCTTTGTCGCTGGCCTCCTTGAGCTTGTTACCCCATTCGTTGCCTCCGGCGCACATTGTGCTGGTGCTCACGGGCGCTCGGCGGCCATCGCCCCGGATCTCGCGCAGGGCGCGCCCGATCCAGCGACTCGTCTACAGGCCGCAGAAGCCAGGCGTCGCACTTAGTGGGATCAACGATGCTGCGCGTTGCCGACAGTGGTCCCCGACGACGGCGGGAGGTCTGGACCAAAGGCTTCCTCAAACATGTGTAGGTTAGCCCTGTGCTCAAAAACCATCGACCCCACTAAGTGGGACAATCGTTGGTTTGCATGTCCAACTACCCCAAAAGCCGGCAGGAGTTCTGGGCCGTAGGGTTCTCCGAAACGTGAGTAGGATAGCTCTGCGCTCACAAACCCTATATCACACCAAATGGGATAAACAATGTTGTGCGTTGCCAACATCGAACGCAGCACCCGGACGCAAAAGCAAGCCCTTCAATGTGCCTGGAAGAATATGTGCCTATCTCCGCTCTGTGCTGATGCAGGGTCTCTCTCATGGAAAACATCAGATCGTCCATCATGATATCTCTGCCATATACTGGGAAATAGAATGAGACGCGCGACTATGAATCGTGGTCTTCTCCAGCCCCGAATGGCGCACCGATTCCGTGACTTGAGATAGGGGCTTCAGCCCCATGGGCCGCCTGGGCGGACAGATCGTGCCCCCCCAAGCACAAAATACCTCTTCCCCCCTCTGGCCTGCTTAGGTGGCCCCGAGTCGGTCACGCAGCCGTTGCAGGCGCGGCACCCCATCTGGTCTGCTTAGGTGGCCCAAGAGGGGGGAACGTCGGCCACAGCCGTTCCAGGCGCGGCAACACGGGCCGCTGTGCCCTATAGGGTGGTGAAACCAGGTAGCTGGGCCCACCAACGGGGTTGAGAGGCCTCTAAGCTATATCACCTCAAGTCCTCCTCCTGCTCCTCCTTCTTCTCCTGCTTCTCACGTTCGTCCTATATTCCCTACCCCGTCTTCCTCCACCACTCTCCTCCTCCTACTCCTCCTCCTCCTCTACTCCCCTCCGCCCGATGACGCTCACACCCATCGATATCGAGACCGAGTAGAGCACAGAACCGCATCGGAGGCAACCAGGGCGGAGCCGCTCGAGGGGGGAAGCGAGTCGAGGGAGGGCCCCCACGTCCTCCTCCTTCTCCTCCTTGTCCTACTTTCTCTTATTGGGACGACGCCGCCCGAGACCCCGCGCACGAACACCCAAAGGTCGGGACGTCGGGACATGGCCCGAAGAGCTGCGTACGCGGTTTCCCGGAAGCGCCGATGGGGTGCAACCAAAATCGGAGGAAGGGGGAGGATGGGAATGAAGGAGCAGGGGGCAGGAGGAAAGGGCCAGGGGAACAGGGTTTACGAGGTGAAGATGGAAGAGGAGGAGGAGGAGGAGGAGGAGGAGGAGGAGGGGGAGGAGGAGGAGCAGGTGGGAGATGACATAATGAATCAGTGGAGAGACAGGGAGGGAGTTGGGGAGGAGGAGCGATGACGGCAGGAACGCAGGAGCTGTAGGGCATGGGCCGACCTAAGGCAGAACCTCCCCCCAGCACATAAAGAACCACCACAGCCGCTGCGTTCGCCCTCCTCTCGGGGGACGGGGAGGGGGGCGTAGCCAAAGGTGGTCTGGCGAATCAGCTGCACGTAAAGTTCGGGCGCCTCGTCGTGCCCTTGCATCGAAGGAAGAAGTTACTGGCGATGGATACGAAATCGGCTGCACGCAGCAGTTTCCGTAGCCCCCCATTTAACACACCTCTATTCGGACCGCACGGAGCCCTCCATACTCCACACCACTCGGTGGACTCCAGGCGTCTCCAACCACGCATCTGGCAACATCTGTCACGAGACAGAATATGACCCTGACGAAACGGACCCCTAACCCCCAGGGCTTCATCCAAGACCGGCTTCTCATCCCCGAACCGATATTCACGGCCACGTGGCCTGTGAGAGGGCCCTGGGACCTCGAACACAAAACAAGCAAAAACTTGAGGAACTCTTTCCTCCACGACAATGTTTCGCCATGTCTGCATATAGGAAATCCCCCCGAACCTGTCCTGGGATGCGACCTGGTGCCTAATTTCGAAGCGGATCCAGCCGCTGCGCAGGGAAGCCGCTGGGAGACGCCTCCCAAAGAGCACAAATCCAACGTCAGGCTCCGTCTGTTCATGGCGTGGCGTGCAACTGGGAATCCCATCGTACCAACGGCACGTCTGGAAGCATGTGGGCTCGGAGCGGCGCGCGGGTGCGCGGCGCCTCGCAGCCGCTGTTCGTCCATGGCTTGGCTGTCGGACATCCTCGCCTCTCGCGCCGACTCGGGCGCGTACAAGCAGGTGCCTCGCGCGGGCGCCGCCGGGCGCCCCGCCGCCCCGCCGAAAGCAGCGGCTTCCGCTCCACCCGGTGCACGGTCGAAGTGGGCTGCCCAGGATGGGATCGGAACAATGGCATCCTGCGTCACTGGCTCCGCCTCCTCAGGAGGCGCCCGCTTCAGAAGCCAGCCTGCGGCCAGAGGACTTCACACGTCAGTCGCCGAGGCCCCTGCTGCTCAGAAGCTTCAGAGCGCGGTGCCGCACTGGGTAAAATCAAGGCTGTGGACTCGTTTTTCCACATTCGGCCTCTGGGGGCTGTCTCTTGCCCCTGGGGCTGTCAAAAAGCAGCCCAGGATGAATAAACTGTCCTCGGGAGCGAGGAGGCCCTGGTGCCACAGACGGAGACAATCACGGCGTCGGAGATATGGGTCTCCTCCGCAATGGGTCACTCCTTGGACGCCCAGAGCTGGGACGGCAAGGATATGAACAATACCCACCAGTAAATGCTGTCCAACACCGACCGCCGACACGGTTGGGCAAGCAACTTCCGTCCCAAGTCGACAACGCCCGCGGAGACTCCGGCAGGGGCGTCCTGTCTAAACGGACTGGAACTGCTGTTGAATTTCGTCCCGACTTGTTCCTCACCCGTTTCGGCCATACCGATCGAAGCGTCCCGCGAAACAGCCGCTTGGCCAGGTTTACAACCGTTCGGAGCGCATCGACACAACTCATCCCTCTCTCCCCTGGACCCCAACGAGATTCGCGCGTAGCCGTCGCCGTGCACCCGCGCTAGACTGATACAGCGCCGCTGGGCCGCCCCTGAGTTCCCCCCTGGAGGCAACTCATAGGATGTTGTGGTGGGCGAGATCGAACTTGTTACTATGCGCCACGCCAAATTTGATCAAAGAAGACCACAACTGCCGATCTCCAGGCGACTCAGGCGGAGGAGGAGGAGGTGGAGGAGGAGGAGGAGGAGGAGGAGAGGAGGAGGAGGAGGAGGAGGACGCCTGGGAGGCGTCTTGCGCCTCCCAGGCGTTGCAGCCGACTCTCCCCCTCTTGCCACCCGCATCCGCTCTCCAGGGGTAGTGGGGTTGGGCAGGCGGCATCCGCGGGAACTTTCCAGGAAGCTCCTGCCCAGACCCGTCGGACCGAGGACTGTTCTGGCATGTGGCGCCAATCCCCAAGCTTCCGCAGCACAGTCCTTCTCTAGGGACGCCGCAAGTGCCAAAACATGAGAATGACAGCATCCGCCCTCTCCTCGAACACAAACAGGAACTCCCTCCGCGCTTCCCGTCGTTTGATGGATCCGCGCTCCCAGGGCCACGATCTCAATGAAGACAGTGTACGTACCCTCCCAGAGCCACTCGAGGTGTCCGTGGATCTCTCGACCGAGAGCCCCCCGCAGAGCCCCGCGACGCGATCCGAGGCCTCGCAGAGCCCGCCTGGGCCTCGCAGGGCCTCTCCAGGTCTCCTGCACGCCTGCCTCGGACCTGCTAGGGCGTAGATGGACGGTGGCGAGAGTGCTCCAAGGATGCCCCGAGATGGAGCAAGGCTGCGAAACAGAGCCCGAGGGTGCCCTGGAAGAGCCATCCCAAAGACACCCATCCAGACTATAACCAAGCAACACACAAACACGCTTCTCCAGGAAGCGCAGAGGTTATGCTCGAGCCGAAACCCTTGGATGTGATCAACTGCGGGGGCGACGCGGGAAATGCTCGCAGAGGTTACACGCACACAAACACTCTGCGAGGAACACCATGCCTCTGCCCGTGCGCTGCGGGCAACCAACGGAAATCCGTGGAAAGAAGCAGCACATGAGGTGCAGTCAGGCCTATCGATGTGAAGACTCGTGCCAAGTACGTGGACAGAAATCGAGCAAGACATGCGAGTCCAAGACGTCAGCAAAACTCATTGACGCAGTCCTGACGATAAAGCGAATATGTACACATACATGTGGGTGCGCTACCTGACAAACGTGGGCAATATGGTACACATCAACGGGGTCAAATAGCAGCCCACCCTCCATCCCGCGGGCCGTGCGGTGGTGGGCAGTGGGCGCACCCCACAATTTCTCGGGGCTGGGCTTGCTGGTCCAGCCGCTGACCATGACCATGACAACAATGACGATCATGAATATGATCTCCCAGAAACACAATTCGTGATCTCTCTGTCCATGTCTCTCATTGTTCTGGTTCGCTCTCTCTCTACTCCCTCTCTCTCTCCCTCTCCCTCTCTCTTTCTCTTTGTTTCTCTCTCTCTCTCTCTGTATATGTATATACGTGTACAACTATCGTATGCAAATACCAATATCTCTATTTGTGTATCACTCTCTCTCTCTCTCTCTTTGCGTGTGTTATGTCTCTCTCTCTCTCTCTGATTGTCGGACGGAGCCTTCAAGCTTCAGGGGTGGCGAGGCCACGGTGTCCGTCCGAAGCACGGCGTGCAATCGATCGGGCAAACCTGTTCCAGAAGACATACACACGCCTGATCTGAATATTTCGGGTTTTCTCAGAGAGTCAACCAACGTCTTGGCAGTAGCGTGGGACTCGACGCGTGTGCGGGATCGAGGAGCTTCCGAAACTCGGCGGCATTGGCAAGGATTCGGAATTGCGGGAGGTGGGGAGGAGGGGGAGCAGAAAGAGACTGGCGTTAGCGATGATGAGGGACTGGAAATGCGAGGGGGAAATGGAAGGCGAATGCGAGGAGGCAACGTCATGAGGGACGAGGGGGGAGGGGGAGGGGAGGGGACGAGGGACTGCTAGGGAGGGGAGAGAGAGGGCCGGCGGAAGGGCAGGCGGGAGGGCAGGGCGGAAGGCAGGGCGAATGGAGCAGGGCCGCTCAGGCCGCCCACTCGCTCTGCTGGACCTGCGCGCGGTAGTCCTGCTCCTCCTCCAGCCACTGCTGCACCTCGTCGGTCAGCATGCGGACGGCGTTCGGCTGCTCCTCGCCGAAGCTCACCTTGTCCGCGAGGGCCTCTCTGGGCCAAGAGCTCGCACCATGGCTTGCAATGCGCACATCTTCGCGCCCTCGCACCGCCACCCCGGCCCGGGCCGTGGCGCGCGAAGCGCGGCTACCTTCGCGATCCCTGCGGGTGACACGTGACCAGGATCCCATCCTGGGCCCCGTCCTGAGCGGTTCTTCGAGCTGCGTCCAGCCGCGGTGACGAGCACCCCCCTCCCTGCGGAGGCCAAAAAACAATTAGCCTGGCGAAGGACCCAACCAGATGCTGTTGTGAGTGAGTTGTGAAGATCGTTGTCGGTGGAACTCCCTATGGCGCCACAAAACGTGTGAGGGGCGTGCCGATTTGGGGAGGTGGGCGGGTGCATGTGAACCCTCCCACTGGGACCTTCGGCGGGGCTCCCGATAGGGCCAAGAAGCGTGCGAGGGGTCTGCCGAAACGGGCGTGACGCCTATATGCGGACAGCAGCAATGGGACCGTCGGTGGAGCTACCCACGGGGCCACGAATCGTGTGAGGGGTGTGCCGAAACGGGCGTGACGCCCACATGCGAACTGTACAACTGAGAGCTTCGGTGGAGCTCCCTACGGGGCCACGAAACGCGTGATGGGTGTGCCGAAATGGGCGCGACGCCCACATGCGAACTGCACCACTGGGACCTTTGGTGGAACTCCCTATGGGGCCACGAATCGTGTGAAGGGTGTGCCGAAACGGGCTGACGCCCACATGCGAACTGTACCACTGGGACCTTCGGTGGAGCTCCCTACGGGGCACCGAAACGTGTAATGGGTCTGCCGAAACGGGCGCGACGCCCACATGCGAACTGCACCACTGAGCCCTTCGGAGGAGTTCCTTATGGGGCCACGAAACGTGTGAGGGGTGTGCCGAAACAGAGAGGATGCAGGGATGGGAGGCGGGAAGAGGGGGATGAGGAGGAAGGACGGAGCGCGGGGCGCTGTCTCTTCAAAACAAGGACCCAACACCACAGGACGGTTGGGAATTAGACTGGCCAAGGACCAAACCATATGCAGTTGTGAGTACCGTCGTTGTATGCACCGCATTCGGTGGAGCTTCCTATGGGGCCACCAAACCTGTGAGGTGTGCCACAATGGGTGCGGTGGGTGCATGCGAACGCTGGCATGTGGACCTTCGGTGGGGCTCCCTGTGGGCCGCGAAACGTGTGAGGGTGTGCCAAGAGGGGTGCGATGGCCGCATGCGAACACTGGCATGTGGGCCTTCGGTGGGGCTCCCAATGGAGCCGCGAAACGTGTGAGGGGTGTGCCAAAATGGGTGCGGTGGGCGCATGCGAGCGCTGCCAATTGGGCCTTCGGTAGGGCTCCCTGTGAGGCCACGAAACGTGTGAGGGTGTGCCAAAAGGGGTGCGGTGGCCGCATGCGAACACTGGCATTTAGGCCTTCGGTGGGGCTCCCAATGGAGCCGCGAAACGTGTGAAGAGTGTGCCGAAATGGGTGCGGTGGCCGCATGCGAACGCTGGCATTTGGGCCTTCGGCGGGGCTCCCTGTGGGGCCGCGGAACGTGTGAGGGGTGTGCCGAAATAGGCATGCGGTGGGCGGGAAAGAACCTGTGAACTGTGCCACTGGGGCATTCGGTGGAGCTCCCTACGAGACCACGAACCATGCGAGGTGTGTGCCAGCCGAAATGGGCATGCGGTGGGCGGGGAAAAGCCTGGAGCCATCGGTGGAGCTTCGTGTGACGGATGTGCCGAAATTCGCATGCGGTGGGAAAGGAAGAACATGTGAACTGTGCCACTGGGGCCTTGGGTGAAGCCCCCTATGGGGCCACGAACCGTGTGAGGGGTGTGCCGACATGGGCATGCGGTGGGCGGGGTGGACGCATGTGAACTGTGTCACTGAGGCCTTGGGTGGAGCTCCCTCTGGGGCCCCGACCCGTGTGAGGGGTGTGCCGATGTGGGCATGCGGTGGGCGGGGTGGACGCATGTGAACTGTACATGCGGTGGGCGGGGAGGAGCATGTGAACTGTGCCACTGGGGCCTTCGGTGGAACTCCCTATGGGGCCACGAACCGTGTGAGAGATGTGCCGAAATGGACACGCGGTGGGCGGGTTGGACGTATTTGAACCATGCCACTGCGGCCTTGGGTGGAGCTCCCTACGAACAGTTTGAAAGGTGTGCCGAAATTGAAATGGGCATGCGGTGGGCGGGGTGGACGCATCTGAACTGTGCCAATGGGGCCTTGGGTGGAGCTCCCGATGGGGTCACGAACCGTGTGAGGGGTGTGCCGACATGGGCATGCGGTGGGAGGGGTGGACGCATGTGAACTATGCCACTGGGGCCTTGGGTGGAGCTCCCTCTGGGGCCCCGACCCGTGTGAGGTGTGTGCCGAAATGGGCATGCGGTGGGCGGGGTGGACGCATGTGAACTGTGCCACTGGGGCCTTGGGTGGAGCTCCCTATGGGGCCACGAACCGTGTGAGGGGTGTGCCGAAATGGGCATGCAGTGGGCGGGGTGGACGCATGTGAACTGTGCCACTGGGGCCTTCGGTGGAGCCCCCTATGGGCCCACGAAGCGTGTGAGGGGTGTACCGAAATGGCTATGCGGTGGGCGAGGAGGACGAGGAGGAGAAGGAGAAGGAGGAGGAGGAGCAGGAAGGAGAGGAGAGGAGGAGAGGAGACGTGGGGCGCTGTCGCTTCAAAACGAGGACCCAACACAGGATGGTTGGGGAAAAACGAGATGTAGCCTTCTGGACGGCCATGCTGGTGTGGTCGCCAATGGAGGCATTGACGGGCCACCAGCCGTAGAGCTCCGACTCCAGGTACGAGTAGTCGCCACGCCTGGCGATGCGCTCTGGCTTGACCACGTTGGGGCTGATCACCATCGGGGTGTTTGGGGCCAGGAGGGCGGCCCAGAAGGAGTAGGTGGAGTCCGCGATGATCCGCCACCGCGCCCGCAGCGGCCGGCGTGTGCACCGGCCCCCTGCCTGTCTGCGCCAGCTCTCGGCATAACTTGGTCTACACACGTGCAAGGTAGCGAACGATCTTTCATTCAATGTTCTGTCCCATTCCAAGAACCTCTCCCGATACCCTCTTTGGCGCGCCAAGCTCGTCAACTCGAGGTGAATCGAATCAGGTCGCAATCAAGGTCTCGAAATCGTAACTGAGTCGAAGGAAAGCCCCTTCCATTTGATCCCTTCCCCACCAGGGGGGGGTCCTGGGGGTGGGGGTCTTGGGTCAAAATGCAGTCCCCCTTCCCTGTTCGGGCCGCCTTTGAGCTTCGAGCAAATTTGATCCGCCTTCGGCAGGTCAGGTCCAAGGTGCTCCAAGAGGGGCCTGCGAGGGGCCCACGATGTGCCCAAGAGGGGCCCAAGACGCCTAAGGTGGCCTCCAGACGGCCCAAGACGACTCCAAGACGCCACAAGAGGCCTCCAAGAGCACTCCCAAGAGGCAAATTGTATTGAATGTCTGTTGGCGTTTGAAATAGTATAGCGTTTCTGCGGTTTCGGCTTCCCGACTCTCCAAGATGGCACCCGGGTGTATCGCTGTTGGGTCGCGGGTGGGTCGCGGGTGTAGAAGGAGAAAATCCACCCATAATAATCACCCCGACAAGCGAAGCCATTTAGTAAACGCACACAAGGAATGGACCGAACAGGCCAGGGTTGTTTAGTAAACGCCCAGGGCCGTTTAGTAAACGTCAATTGTCGGGTCCAAGTGTTTTTTTCTTCCCTTGAAGGTGGGTCGTGGGGTGGGTCGCGGGTGGGTCGCAGAGTGAGTCGCAGGGTGGGTCGCAGGGGGGGTCGCGGGTGGGTCGCGGATGGGTCGCGAGGTGGGCCGCGGAAGGGTCGCAGGGTGGGTCGCGGGTGGGTCGCGGGTCGCGGGTGGGTCGCGGGTTGGGTCGCGGGGTGGGTCGCGGGGTGGGTCGCGGGGTGGGTCGCGGGGTGGGTCGCAGGTGGGTCGCGGATGGGTCGCGGATGGTCCGCGGGGTGGGTCGCGGGTGGGTCGCGGGGTGGGTCGCAGGGTGAGTCGTGGGTGGGTCGCAGATGGGCCGCGGATGGGTAGCGGGGTGGGTCGCGGAAGAGTCGCGGGTGGGTCGCGGGGTAGGTCGCGTGGTGGGTCGCGGGGTGGGTCGTCGCGGGGGTCGTCGCGGGGTGGGTCGCGCGGCGGGTCACGGGTGGGTCGCGGGTGGGACGACGACAACGAGCAACAACAATAACAACAACAACAACAACCACAACAACAACAACAACAACAACAACAACAACAACAACAACAACAACAACAGCAGCAGCAGCAACAGCAGCAGCAGCAGCAACACCAACAGCAACAGCAACAGCAACAACACCACCACCACCACCACCACCACCACCACCACCAACAACAACAACAACAACACTTACTAGCACGTGGGGACACACCGTTCTCACCAGTGCCAGGGTTTTCATAGGAGGCGGGCAATACCCCCACTTTGTGGGGGGGCCGGTTCAAGCTCTACCAAATTTCCAAACGACTCTTCGCCACCACCCACACCCAGCTTCCCGCCCTATGACGTTCGGACACTTCACTTCGTGGCATGCGGACGACCGTGGCTACTATTCAGGGCCCCGCGGCCGACGACGACGGCGTGCGCGCGCGAAGAAAAAACGAATGTGTCCCGCATGGTATTATTTGACAGGGATGATGGCCCTGGCAGGTGCGCAACCGTTGTTGCAGAAGTTCGAAAAAGTTGCTCGCAAAAGCCCTTTTGACAGAAATGATTAAAAAGTGTTGGGTTTCCTACAAATCCGCAAGAGCGCGCGGGATGAATTTTTGACAATTTGTTTTTGAAAAACAATTGCTTTTTTTAAAAAAAAAATGTTTTTATGTTAAAATCGCTACGAAAACTAAGGTTTTGGAAGGATTTCGTCTTGCGCGCGCGAATGTCCACTCTACCTTATTTTTTGCAAGGGATTCTTGAAGTTTGGTTATGTTAGAACAAGAAATGTCCACTTTAGCTTTTTTTTTGCAAGGGAAACCGATCGTAACAACACAACCGGATCCGGACTCCCCCGTTTTGCCTGAGACTTCCTCACGAAAATGATGAAAATGAGGCTGCGGCCTAGGCGCGGCAGGGGGGTCGTGCACCAGGGGCCCCAACAATACTTATTCTTAAGAAGAAATAATGTTCAACAGCACCAACAACAGCAACATCAACAGCACCAGCAACAGCAACAACAGCAACAACAACAACAGCAACACCACCAACAACAAACATAATGGTGAGACTGGTCGCCCTTAAATGCTCGAGTGTCCAATAGCGCGTATTGCCCAAACCCTCGATACCCGCCCTTTTCGTCTTCGATCGAACCCCTTTTGGGGGGTATACCTTTCTTCCCTGCAGGCCGGGCCCCGGCAAGCGGTGGGGCGGCCGCGGACCGTCGGCCTGGCCAGCGACAGCGCTGATCGGCGGGGCGGCCGCGGACCGTCGACCCGACCCCAAGGGGGACGGACAAGGGACCGACCACAACGACGACGACGACGACGACGTCGAAGACGACGACGACGACGAAGACGGCGACGACGAGCGAAAGCGAGAGCGAGAGAGAACGACAGCAGGGCCACGAAGGGCACGAAGTAGGCCACGAAGGGCGACAGCGGGGACACGAAGGGAATGCGCATGGGACCACGAAGAGCGCGAGCGAGCGGTGGCCACGAAGGGCAGATAATGCGGGGCCACAGCAGGCAACGATGGGGCCACTGAGGGTAGCAACTGGGCCACGTAGGACAGTGAGGGGGCCACAAATGGCAACAGCGGGGCCACGAAGGGCATGCACATGGGGCCACAACGGGCGCGACTCCTGGGTGCCTGGGTGTCGGGAGCGCGGCGCTTGGGCAAATTGCAGGAAATTCCAACGCAGGGTTTCTTCAGTAAGTTGCAAGCAAGTCTCCAGCGAGAGCGCGACTCCAGAGCGCCGGGAGAGCGATTCCTGAATAAATTTAAAGGAAGTCCCAAGCGAGAGCGCGACTCCTGAATAACATGCGAGGGATTTTCGGGCGGGAGCGGGGGTCCTGGCTAAATTATAAGGACGTCTCAAGCGGGAACCGTTGTTGCTGTAACCCGGGGGCCAGCGACACCGTTTGAACATCAAGACTTGTCGTCAAAAAACAGGATGCGAGCGTCGAGGGGCACACTTTGATTGAGAAAAAACAGAATGCACCGGTGGGGGGGATCAACAATAATGATTCGTCAGAAATGAAAAATCAACAACAACAATCATTTCCAAACTGTTCGCCCCTATCTGTTCGAGTGTCCAGTAACGCGTATTTCCCAAATCTTAGATACTCGCCCTCTTCGTCGTCTATCGAGCCCCCTTTGAGGGGTGTAATTTTTTTCCCTGCAGGCCGGGTCCCGGCGAGCGCCGAGGCGGCCGCGGACCGTCGGCCTGGCCAGCGGCAGCGCTGATCGGCGGGGCGGCCGCGGACCGTCGACCCGACCCTAAAAGGGACGAACAGGGGACCGACGACAACGACGACGACGACGACGTCGACGAAGACGGAGACGACGATGAGCGAAAGCGAGAGCGACAGAGAACGACAGCAGAGCCACGAAGGACACGAAGTAGGCCACGATGGGCGACTGCGGGGACACGGAGGGAATGCGTATGGGGCCACGAAGAGCGCGAGCGAGCAGCGACCACAAAGGGCAGATAATGCGGGGCCACAAAAAGCAAAGATGGGGCTACTGAGGGTAGCAACTGGGCCACGTAGGACAGTGAGGGGGCCACAAACGGCGACAGCGGGGTCACGAAGGGCACCGGGGCCACAACGGGCGCGACTCCTGGGTGTCTGGGTGTCGGGAGCGCGGCGTTGGAGCAAATTGGGAAAGAAAAAGAACAACGCAGGGGCGCTATTCTTCAATAGAACGCAAGCAATTCTCCAGCGAGAGTGCGACTCCAGAGCGCCGGGAGAGCGATTCCTGAATACATTGTAAGGAAGTGCCAAGCGAGAGCGCGATTCCTAAATAAAATGCGAGGAAGTCTCCAGCGGGAGCGGGGGTCCTGGCCAAACTATGAAAAAGTCTCAGGCGGGAACCGTTGTTGTTATAACCCGGGGGCCAACGACACAGTCTGACCCTCAAGACTTTCTCTGATGAAAAAACAAGGTGCGAGCCCCAGGAAAAGCATTTCAATCGAAAAAAAATATGCACCGGACGGGGGGATCAACAATAATGATGCTTCAGACATGAGAGTACAACAACATAAGCATAAGCAACAACAAAACAACAACTACTACTACAACAACAACACCACCACCACCAACAACAACAACAGCAACAACAACATCAACAAGGTTGACACGTGCTCTTCTGGCCCGTTCACCCAGAAACTTTGTCAACGCTTGCCCTTAAAGGACGACCCGTGATTTTGCTGCCCGGGGGTATGCCCCCCCTGGCAACCAGCAGCCAACAATCTTGGGCTCCATTTCTCGCTCCGCTGTAACTTCGCTTGCCAAGGGTGTGAACTCTTCTTTGATGCAATGTGTCCATGTCTGCACCAGCGAAGCTCGGGAATCCATCGGCTCCCACATGATCCTGTAAAATCCTATAGGGAGCCTTCAAGGATCCTATAGGGAACCTCCAAGGATCCTGGAAGGATCCTACAGGGATCCTATAAGGATCCTATAGGGGTCCGATTCGATCATATAGGATCCTGTAGGGAACCTCAGGGATCCTGTGGGGTTTATGTACGGATCCCATGCGATCCTGTAGGATCCAATAGGAATCGTACAGGGATTGTATAGGAATCCCATGTGGCCGTGTCGGATACGATGAGGGTCGTTTAGGGATTGTATAGGAATCCCTTGCGATCCTATGGGGTCCTATACGAATCGTGTAGGGATTGTTTAC